CTCACAAGAGAAATGAATTCAAAAAGATTCTCTTAAATTCTAAATTTTTGAGTATAATGATTTTCAAATTTTCAAGCACACAATAATGATTGATAATGTTTGATTTTCAGGTTCGACCTTCGAAGCAAATCAAACTTAAGTCTTCACGAGAGAGTAGTGAAGCAAATCATCTAGAAGTCTTCACAAGAAAGTAGTAAAGCAGAAGAAGATGTTCGAGTTCCATACTCCCTAGAGAAAGAGGGAGCGAACCCGTAAGAAGGAGATGTTTGAGTTCCATACTCCCTAGAGAAAGAGGGAGCGAACCAGTAAGAAGAAGATGTTTGAGTTCCATACTCCCTAGAGAAAGAGGGAGCGAACCCGTAAGAAGAAGATGTTCGAGTTCCATACTCCCTAGAGAAAGAGGGAGCGAACCCATAAGAAGAAGATGTTCGAGTTCTATACTCCCTGAACGAATAGGGAGCGGACCCATTTGTTGAAGATTGTTCGAGTCCTATACTCTCTGAATGAATAGGGAGCGGACACGTTTATTGAAGATCGAGTCTTATACTCTCTGAAGGAATGGGAGCGGACCCGTTTGTTGAAGATTTTTTGAGTCTTATACTCCCTGAAAGAATAGGGAGCAGACCGTCATTCGAAGATTTTTCAAGTCTTGCTTATCCTGAAGTAACAGAGAAGCGGATTAATCTTTTGAAGTTCTAATGGCCGGACAAACTTGATTATCTATTGATCTTTGCTCTATTCTCGTTACACGACAATGAGCAAAGAGGGGCAGCTGTAGATGCTCGTTTTTGTCCAGGGCAATACAAGATTCAAAGTGGATTGCAGGACTAAAATAAATATAACAGTTTGCAACACCCAATTGTCTCTCTTCAACCGTTTCGCCTATAACTGCAGCAAATAACCAAGTCAGATTTTTTGGGAGCCAAGTAAGAAGCAATGAGGCAAACGGTTATGGAAAAAGAGGGTAAAAACTGATGGAAACAGTTTGTAAGTGGGGGCACGACTTGATGAGTATTTTAGGGGAAATAAACTGTAAAGAGTTCAGTTTTTAGGATTAACCACTGGAAAAGGAAGACAAAAAAAGAAAAAGGAGAAAAGGGGGGAGGCTACGCACAAGAGAGGAAGCACAAAAGATTTTTTTTCCTTTTCATTCGCTTTACACAGAAAAACAACGGATAAAAACAATGTATACAATATTTTTTTTAGATTAAAAAGATCAAACAGTGGGTGTAAAAGGGATTCATGTAATTGATCCATTCAAAAGCAATAGAAAACAGAGGGGTTCATCAGCAGCAGAAAACAAAGGAGAGAAGAACAAGAATAAGTGGGAAACTGAAGAAATTACAAGAGCTTGTTCCTAACATGGACAAGCAAACGAGCTATTCAGATATGCTGGACTTGGCTGTGTAGCATATTAAAGGCCTTTAAAACGAAGTTCAGAAACTCCACAAAGAATTGGAAACGTGTACATGTGGGTGCAAACAAAGCTTATGATGATTGCTCGACATGGTAAAGAAACAAAGTTGTATGATTTCCAAATTTTGAAGGCAAGACTAATTTAGTTGGATTAACTTGACTTAATAAGGAAAATATAAGATAAACAAAATCAAAATCAAGTTACAAGGTAGTTTCTAAATCTGATTTTAGGGAATTTTTGTTTCTTTTTGTTTCTGTTTTTCATTCGAATTAAAAAAATAAAATAAAAGGGATTGACGTTAGTCTTAATAAAAAATATTTTCTTTCTTTAATCAAAACAGTAAAGAACGAAAGAGAGAGAGAGAGCTTACCTTGGCCGAGCGTTCGTGGCTCTCAATCGAAGGGATTTTAGGCATGGTGGTCACCATTTCTGTTAGTTGAGTAGAGGAAGAATAGAGAAGATGAGAGGAACGGCTGGGTTGTTTAGTTTAGAGTTAGGTTAGGTTTGTTATTTAGGTTATATGTTAAAACTTTAGGGTTAATTAGCTTTTAGCCACTGAGTCCTTAGAGTGTCGTTTAATCCCTATAGTTTTTGTGTTTATTTTCATTTTGGTCCCCAAACCGAATGTTTTCCTGTTTCCAATTTTGCATCTTTATCTTATGCGTTTTAATTTTCAGTCCCAAATGTTATATTATTTAGTTTTTGTTATTTTAGACATTTAACTTCTGAATTGTTGCATGTTCGTTTTAGTCCATAAATCAACATTTGCATGTTTATAGTTTTTGTCTCTTTATTTTACCCGCATCTAATTTTAGCCCTAAGTATTCTTGTATTTAATCTTTGCCGTTTTAGACATTAAACTATTAATTTTCGCATGTTACATTTTAGTCCCTAGTTAGAAGTTTGCATGTATCTAATTATGTCTATTTATTTTATGTTCATTTAATTTTCGTCCTAAATATTGATTTGTTTAATTTATGTTGTTTAGATATTAGACTTTAAGGTTTTTGCATGTCACATTTTAGTCATGTGGGCATGTTATTTTAAGTTTATGTGATGTTGCATATTTGGCATAACATTTTCTCGGTTTTCATTTTAGTTTTACAGGTGGTCTGAGTTTTATGTTGATCTTGGTATATGTAATGCATTGATAGTTTTTTTTTGTGGTCTTTGTTTAATAGTAATTTTAGCTTTAGATTTATTTACTCATTTATTTTAATCGTATGTTTAATTAATTTTTACATGACATCATTTTTGCATAATTTGCATGATAGCCTCACTTGCATAACTCGACATATTCATAATTGGATTAAGGGTAATATATTTTTAATTTAAAATTATTTTAAGTGGGCAGTCATAACTAATTTGAGGCCCGCTTTTAATGATTTTAAAATAAAAGTGTATCCCGAAAGTGAAACAAAAAAATTGATTCGTCACCTAAAATTTGGAAACGAGAGAAAAAGAAATGTTCGTTTATTTAAATATATCGAGAAAAGGTTGTTATATCTTTAAGATCTGGTCTCGATATTTGTAAATAATCGAACATTCTTTATCTTTCTAAAATGACTCGGTAATTTTAATTTAATTTATTTGAGTGTTTTTTTAGTATTGTAAAATTCACTTTTTTGTTGTTTTACGTGATTAAAAATTAAATTAAATTCGATTTTGTAAAGTTCATTGCAAAGACGTTAATTAATCGACTAGGTACCGATTTAGGGCGTTGTGGGGGTGTTAATCCTTCTCCACACGTAATAGACTCCCGAACTCATTTTTTGGTAACGCAGACCTCAATTTGTTGTTTTAATTAAAATTAATTTTTATTTAAAATGACAAAACGTTTTTGGGTGTCCAATCACACCCTAATCAAATATTGGTGGCGACTCTTTGAACTGTATTTTTTTTCGATCGTAAAGGAAATCCAAAATTTTTCGAAACGAGAGGTTTTTAAATCGCATTTGTTTTTAAATTAAAAATCAATTGAAAGAGGTAAATTAAAAATTAATGTGGTTTTTTAATCTCACTTTTTCACCTTTCAGAAAAAAATCGTTTCGACAGAAACGAGCTGGTTTCTCTCATAGCAGAAAGATAAAAACCTAAAAACTACAGATGCTCTCTTGTTTATTCCCAAGGTTGCAGTCTACCGATTCAGGGTGCTACGACTGTTGATGTTTGTCCATCCAACGTATTAAGACTTGTTTTTTTATCTTGCAGCAGGGAGTTCGTAAGCCAGATCCGTGACGTCTGTAACAGAGTCCGACTTGGTAGAAATAATCTTTTGAGGAGTCTTGAATATGCAGGAAGGAACACCATTGCAGTGATTCATTTAGCTGAAATATATTGCAGGTTGATGGAAAGATAGGGATACCTCAGAACAATGATGGTTTCTTTTTAGGTTTAGTCAAATTCTGTATAATCTTACAAATTGTTGATACAAAATCCCCAGTGGATATAGATTGTTAGATTCATTTCCAATTAATGGACCAACTAAACATTGACTGATGCGGCTAAGGATGAGTATTCGGTTGTGTTTTATTTTATAACTTAAATTTTATTTTAATTTTTTTGAATCAGTTGTTTGAGTTTCTGTTTAAATTTAATTATAAATATTTATAATTTTATGATATTAATTGGTTCTAATTTAGGCAGCTTTCTATAATAATATTATACAAAGTTGAGGGATACAATTGAAATTTGAAAATCAATCAATTAATTATTATAAAAATTTTGAGTTATTTGAATCTTATTTTATAATTTAAATTGTATTTGAAATTTTTTAGGAGTTTTAAAATTTTAAATTCAGTTAAGTCGACTTTTTCAATGTCTAATTGGATAAAAAAAATTTGAATAAAACTGAGTTTTTCTCACCTAGCAATATTGAAAATCATATCAGAATAACATTTTTAATACGGAGGTAATAAAGACCAAAAAAAGTTCAAGGATCAAGTTGGGAAATTATTTGAAGTTTAGGGACTAGATGTTTTATATCCCTTTATTATTACGATATCTTTTTAAAGAGGGAAATACAGCAGTTTATGTGAATAAAACGATGACGTATAGATATGACGACCACATGGTTCCGCGAACCAGAAAAACATGTTCATTATCTATAGGGATGACAACAGGCCGGGTTCAGCCGGGTATTGATCCTCGTCTCCGTCCTCATTTAAAAAGTTTGTACTTGTTTTTGTTTAAAAAATCGCGAGAATCTAAACGGGAATCCCATCGGGTAATCGGAGAAAACTGTGGGGAAATGGGTATCTAATTTAACATAAACGGTTATTTAAACGAGTATCGAGCCGGGTATATATATTTAAATTAAATATATAAATATTATATATATTTTAATTTAAATTAAATTTATTAATATATATATATATATATATATAATAATTATTATTTTTAATATTTATCGAGCCTAGTATCAGGCCGGGTAATCGGGGTGAGAATTATTAAATCCGTCTGTTTAGCATAAACGATTTATCTCCGTCCCGTCCCCGTTTATCATTCTCAATTTCGACCCATTTAATTCGATTTTCGATTTTAATAGTCGAATTGTGTTTTTTTGTCATCCCTAATTATCCTTTCATTTTTTCTTCCAAACAAATACTCCTCATCCCTTCGTTTTTTGTTTCTACTCTTTAAAATTTGATTTTTTTAAAGAGCACGGAAGAAAATAAAAAACAGTTATGGCGGAAGAAGAACCAGAGCTAAGCGACGAGCAAAAGAAAGGAATCGCCAAATGGTTCCTCATAAACGCTCCCGCCGGCGAAATCCAATACGTAGCCAAAGGTCCTTTTTCTCCAATGTCATTTCATTCTTCGCCATTGCCTTCCATTTTCTTTTAATCTCATGATCGATGAGTTTGCTGCTTTGACGAATTAGTTATAGTATTTATCTCCTTTTAATAATTCGCATTTGATTTTGATTAGATTATTTGAATTTCGTTTTACCTTCGCGGTTATTTTACTTGTTTATTTCATTTATGTTTTTTTGGCAGATTTAAAATCGGTTTTGAAAGATGATGCCGTGTACAATGAGGCGGCAGCTGAGGCGTTTCACATTTACAACAAATCTCACCTGATTTCCCTCAAGATGCCTGGTGGATACGGAGATGTAGGTCTTAGAATTAGAAATCGCTGAATTTGATTTCATTCTTTATAATAATTTGAAAATTAAGGTGTTTTTTAAAAGGGTAGTCGTAACCCAAATTTCTAGTAGTATTACGATATTTCCTCCGGTTTGATTTTCAGAAACGTGAGTGGAATTGCTTGGAATTTAGTTCATGCATTATTGTTTTTAAGAATGGCATTTGTTTTCGAATTGCGGATACTTCATCTATGTTAATTGGATGGAACACCCGGATGTTTATTTTTTTTTCTCAAGAATTTCATATGCTTGAAGTTAAAGGATTATATCATCACAATCAGGTCCGGTTATGAATCGGATACAGGTATTTCAAGAAAAAAATAGTCCAAGAAGCATAGCACTTTATGGAGATTTTTAGTTGGATTATTTGTGAGCTTGTCTTGGTAAGTGTCATGGAATAGGTTTCAAGATTTATATGGCATTTAAGAGGGTCGTTGTTGTTTGCTTTAGTGGCAATTTTTAGATATTGGGCTCCTTTTCACATGGATATGGTAACTCAATTTCTAATGTTGACTTGTTATTCCTATCAAATAGGATGATGGTCGATGTTTGGCTTGTTTGTCAAGATGCTGGTTTCATTGAATTTGGTTGTAAAACAAATCTAATTATTTTGATTTTCTTTCTTCAATTGGAGTTTAGGTGTTGGTTACATCATATGGGGAGCTTCATGACAACGAGTATCTAGACCCCAAGACAACCCAAGTTGCCATAGTCGACCATGTCAAACAGGTACCTTTTGGCCTTATTAATGCATCTTGTGATTTAATATTTTTATTTTCATACAAAATTGATAGCCCTTTCTGTAATAATATCCTTCCCTGAAATTGTAATTTTTAGTAGCAAGTAGATTATAGGTTACTATTCCCCCTGTAAATATGGTGCTTGTCTCTTAGCCCAATAATATGTATCAAATGAATTAAATGTTTATATTTTGATGTTCTAAACTGGTTCAGGTTTGTAAAGGGGTGAGATCTGCCACAGACGAGGAGCTTCCTTCCCCATATATTGAGGAATACCGGTATGCATTACAACTCTGATGAACTGATATTGTTTTTAATTGATTCCCTATAAACTATTATGAGCATTATTCTCTGTGAATACTGTAGTTGACATTATAATTCAGATCACTAGATTCCAAGTGTCCATTTCCTTCATTGGCCCAATCCAGATTGGAAACTTCTTCCTCCTTAGTCCTAACTTATTCCACGTTTTGCTGAACCAGCTAGCCCATACTGGTAAAATCCTAGGTGTCATGTCCCAAGTAACAATTCCTTACATGGATTGATACTCAGGACTATCCCAGGAACCATAACCTTGTATATTTTATTGCCAACAAATAATAAGTTTGATAGGTTTTCACATTGAGGATATACTACTCTATTGTGTCACAGTTTTCATCATTCTTGCTTAAACAAACATGCATCGTGAAGAGAGAAGAACCCATAATTTCTCTTTTGAAAAACTTGGCAAAAATCAATGATTGTTTATGGATGGGATTGACACATTTCTTTGTGTAGTACTTCAATTGCTACATGTAATTAATTTCTTTGCTCTTTTGTTTTCAGCTATGCTCTGGAAGCGGAATTGCTGAAGTATGTTGCTGAAGCTTATCCAAAAGGTTCTTGTTCAGTTTACTGTACTAATGGAAAAGATGTGGAGGGACCTGGATCTGATTTTGAGCTTGTTGCAGTGATTTCTTCTACTCGAAATAGCCCCAATAATTTCTGGTGCGTGAAGTTTGTTAGACAACAATGTAGTAGTAACTTGTGTAGTGATTGCTTGATTGTATAACCAACTAGCTATTTGGTTAACTGTTATTAAGTTGATATTGGTCACGTAGACACATGCGACTATTTATGTTCTAATAACAAGTTTTTTCATATTGTTTAGTAATGGAAGTTGGCGGACAATATGGAAGATTGAGTTCAAAGATGATATTCAAATTTTGGAGTTAAAGGGAAAATGGAAGGTATTTCAATACTGCTTATGATGAATGTGTGGCATATTGGGTGCCCTTTTTCTCCTTTCATTTCGGATCTGAATAAAATAAAGTTACATAAATCTGCTATAAGTTATTCTATTCTCAGGTTGGTGCGCACTATTTTGAAGAGGGAAATGTGCAATTAGATGCAAAACGTGAATGTAGAGATTCTGCAATGTTTCAGGTTATTACAATATTAACAATCTCTTTTAATGTTGTAGGATCGTAGACAGTCTAGAGTTACTTAACATTGAAGTTTTCGATTTTGTTGGCTTACTATATGCCATGTATGGCTCCTGGTTGGTATGTTAACGCAAATGTTTCTAAGCTCATGCTACCCATGTCACTCAGACTTGTATGTGAGTATCGGACATCGGTATGTGTTCGAGGTGGTATGTTCAATTCTTTTCAAGGTTTTATATTTGGACTTTGGAGGATCCTTGGAGAATCAAATATCTATACCCATTTATGCTTAAGTATTGGACTCGGACAATTCATAGAAAGTGAATAGTTGACCAACATAGCTTGCTACCATGTCAGGGTGTTAGTTGTTTTCATATGTTTACTACTTACTGTGTTTGTTTCAGGGCCCGGATGAAACTGCAACTGCCATAGTCCATCTCATTCGCCACCATGAGAATGAGTACATGGCATCTCTTGAGGTTGTTTTAAATCTATCTGCTTAATTTAAAATGCTCGAGTTTTCTAGGATTCTCTACTGATCATCAAGGGATGATGCAGGGGTCGTATTTGGATTTGTCGGATAACACTTTCAAGGTATGTTTCATTTTTTGAAGTCTTTGAGCTGAAAAGCGTTAGATTTGTACCATTTTAATTTATGGCATACTGTATGACTGCATGTTTCTCAACTGATTTATATCATGTTTCCATGTAAAAATGCGTGTAATCAAGTCGAGTTGAGCTCAAGCTTTTAGGAACTTGAGTTTGAGCTTGCCGGGAAATTTGAGGCTCAAGTTTGACTTGAGCTCGAATGTGGTTCACTTTTAAAGCTGAAGCTCGATGATTAGGCTCATTTACCTGGTAAAAAGATGGGCTAGATCTTTTGCTCGGCTTCAAGCTATATTATTTTTGTTTGACCTCAAGTTCGAATTGAAAATTTTCAGTACTAACTAAAACTCATTAAAAAAAAACAACTAAGCTCATGAATTACTCGAATCTTGAATAATGATCTTGAATTCAGCTTGCTAGATAGCTTGATGTGCTCAAGCTCAACAATGACCGAGCCAAATTAGATCTTCTTTAACTGAATCTGAATGACAAGAATTCATCTAGAATATATGCCTACTTATGAAATCCATGGAAACGCATCTCTCTTAAACCCTCATGTATGCAATGCAGGAACTTCGGAGGAAACTTCCGGTTACTCGGACCCTATTTCCATGGCACAACACACTGCTATTTAGCTTCAAAAGAGAGATTGACGAAGAACTCGGAATCAGGAAGTGAGTATATGATATCGAAAAGGCATTAGAGCCAATCCCCTTAATACATACACCGAGTTCGATCGGATCCCCGGTCACCTGGCTCATTGTATTTTTAGTGTAGTTCTGAGAGTTTACAAGCCATCATGTATAAGCATTCGCTTCCATGACACTTGGCCGGAAGAGAACCGATTAGACTTAGTAATATTAGGCACGCGATTCTTACTAAGTTGAAATTAGGCACTTGGCTAGAATGGACACATTCCCCCCTTAAATGGTAAAATATCAAATATTAGTCCTTTTAAAATCTAAAGGTACAAAATTAAGACAATGCTAAAATTTTATTTTGGTCAACAAAAATTTGATTATATTCTAAAATTGTATATAAAAATGAGAAAATAATCTCAGTGATCAAAAATGCCTTATAATATACGATTTTAACCAACTTTTTTTGGATTTGCCAAAATGACCAACTAAATCGCAATGCAATCGATAATTTGCAACGCAATCTCCGGTATTGCAAATCAGTTTCCAGATTCGCAACGCGAACTTCGACTATCGTATTGTGATTTACATATTCGCATTGCGATAGTTCAAGTTCGTTGCGATAGTCGAAGTTCGTGTTGCGATTTATTCCAAATTCGTTGCGATTTATTCCAAGTTCGCGTTGCGATTTATTTCAAGTTCGCGTTACGATTTATTCCAAATTCGTTGCGATAGTCGAAGTTCGCGTTGCGATTTATTTCAAATTCGTTGCGATTTATTCCAAATTCGTTGCGATTTATTCCAAATTCGTTGCGATTTATTCTAAGTTCGCGTTGCGATTTATTCCAAATTTGTTGCGATTTATTCCAAGTTCGCGTTGCGATTTATTTCAAATTCGTTGCGATAGTCGAAGTTCACGTTGCGATTTATTCCAAGTTCGTTGCGATAGTCCAAAATTGTAACGACGGTATTGCATTTGTTTCTTAAGAATTTTCTCTAAAAAGATAGTATTCGCGCGGACGTGTCGAAGACACGTATTACCACGACCCGAGACGGACGGCGGCGGCGGCGACGCGCGAGAGTCCCCCTTGTTCTCTATCACTCAACAAGGAAGTGGGAAAGCCAAGCCTTAAATACCATTCCCAATAGTGTTTCCAATACTATGTGAGATTGAGCATTACCAACACTTGTTCCCAATACTATATGGGATTAAGCCTTAAATAGTGATATTATTTTTGAATGTTTTGGTTAAAATTGCAATAATCGCGATTGATTGTAGATTGACATTTAATTATGACATATTTAATCGTATAATACTAATGCAATTGATATTTAATTATGACATATTTAATCGTATAATATTAATGCAATTGGTTAAAATTACAATAATCGCGATTAATTGTTTCCTGAATAATCACATTGTATTGAAAACAAGTGTTGGTAATGCTCAATCCCACATAGTATTGGAAACACTATTGGGAATGGTATTTAAGGCTTGGCTTTCCCACTTTCTTGTTGAGTGATAGAGAACAAGGGGGACTCTCGCGCGCCGCCGCCGCCGTCTATCTCGGGTCGGGTCGGGTCGTGGTCGTGGTCGTGGTAATACGTGTCTTCGACACGTCCGCACGAATACTATCTTTTTAGAGAAAATTCTTAAGAAACAAATGCAATACCACCAGTCGTTGCGATTTTGGACTATCGCAATACGAATATGTAAATCGCAATGCGATAGTCCAAGTTCGCATTGCGATTGTCGACTATCGCAATGCGATAGTCCAAGTTCGCATTATCGCATTGCGATAGTCGACTATCGCATTGCGATTTACATATTCGCATTGCGATAGTCGACTATCGCATTGCGATTTACATATTCGTATTGCGATAGTCCAAGTTCGCATTGCGATAGTCCAAGTTCGCATTGCGATTTACATATTCGTATTGCGATAGTCCAAGTTCGCATTGCGATAGTCCAAGTTCGCATTGCGATAGTCGAAGTTCGCGTTGCGAATCTGGAAACTGATTTGCGATACCGGAGATCGCGTTGCGAATTATCGATCGCATTGCGATTTAGTTGGTCATTTTGGCAAATCCAAAAAAAGTTGGTTAAAATCATATATTATAAGGCATTTTTGGTCACTGAGGTTATTTTCTCTATAAAAATTGATAATTTAATTATATTCTTCTAAAAGATTTGTGTAAACATTTGATTCGATGGCTTTTGGGTGGAATAGAACCACTAAAGATTTGGTAATATTGAGCAAAAATTATGAATTATGAGAAAAAAATATAAATTAGATGTAAATATAAAAATCATTAAGTAAAAATATAGATATAATCTTTTTATATATTAAATTATATATATATATATATATATATATATATGAAATATCAATGAACTATTGCATAATGTATATATTTAATACATTTAAAAATCGTGTAAAATCTTTTATTTTGAATTTACATATCCCAATTATACGGATATGTTAAATCTGTAAAACACAAATGAGCTTAAAAACTATTCAATTCGATTGATTACTAAATCTGGTAAAAAATAGCAAAAAAATGTAAAACAAAATCCAATTTCATTGCCGGGAATTGAACCCGGGTCTCCTGGGTGAAAGCCAGATATCCTAACCACTGGATGACAATAGATTCATAGAGTAAATACGAACATTTATTTATTATTTCTATTAGATATAGTCATTCTTGTGACAAGATTATTTAGGGTGAAAAGGAGGGGAAAAAATTAAGAGCCAACCTGTTCAATCTTGTAGGTTTTTTTAAGTCGAGTTTTGATTGTATTATTCTTAAAAATTATATTTATTTTTTTATATTTTAAAAGGATAAATACTTAAATCAGAGTCCACTCTTTAGAGGTTGTTTATACTTTAAATAGAGCTCGCCTAGCATTTCAAAACACTCGACTTTTTTGAAACATATCCAAATAAGGTCTATCTTAATATTTGTAGGGTAAATTATAGATTGCACCCTCTCATTCATATTTTGATCATAAAAACTTTTTAAAAAATAATTTAATTATTTATCTATCGAATTACTCATGTGTTAATCACTCAACAACTAAATTATAAACAATGTGATTATATTAGTTATTTTATTAATATTTTTGCACATAAAATTTAGAGTAAAATTTATTTAAATCTTTCACCTTCACCTAATCATTACTCTCACCATCCAAAACCAATTTCATCATAATCTATTGCTTCCAACATTCATTCTCAATACCAATCGCAATTAACCTTCTTCTCTTACACGAGATTCACATGTAAATCTCTTAATCGAGTACTATGAACTAACCATCTTTAGAAGTTCATTAAAAAGACCTCAGTGATAAAAGGGGATGTTGTTCTTTTTAAAAGTTTAGAATTCGAACGAATATGTCTGTAAAATGTGTATGAATTATCAATTATTAAGATATATTCTAAATATATACCACTGTATAATTAATCTAAACTATTTAAAAAAAATATGAACCAAGCCAATTCAAAAAATACATTTATACCACAATCCAAAAAATTTTATGAACCAAACCATACATGTGTACACATACAAACATACATATCTATGTACGTGCAAATAACTGCATAATAATAAAAGATAACCGAAAATAAAAAATATCAAAGAAGGAAATGAGAGAAATATAGGGAGAGTGAAGGCGGAAGAGAATGTATGAGTTTCTCAACAACGAGTATGATTAAATGATGTCAAAAAGTAAATTAATGTATCACATTAATCATTATTAATCATCGAATGATCGATTTATTATAAATCATTACTTTTGAGACATCAGTGGTGAAAATAGAAACTTAATCGAACATTAGTGACTATATATATAGTTTACCCTTTTAACTCTCAAGATTACTCAAAGAAGAACATATAAATAACACATGAATAAATCTTCGTCTCTCTACTTCTGCTGCTTTTATGGGCTCTGATTTTATGTTTTCGATTAAATTCTTCGTTTATTTATTATTATTTTTTAAATCCGCCATCGATGGCGTCCGCCACGGTCGAAGATTCGAGATTTGAAGAAGACCAGTTCGCTTCGATGACCACTGAGGACATCATCAGAGCTTCTAGTCTTAAAGATAACAAGATTCGAATTCAGAAGTTCCTTTATATCCATGCTTCAATTATTATTTCTATTGTTTAGTTTCTAGGGTTTTAGTTTTGGATTTTGATTATACCCAAGTAAAGTGAAGTTCTTTAGTCTAGCTTTTTAATTCTCTTGTTTTAGTTTTAATTATTGTTTGGATTTGCGATCTGGATATTGATTAAACTTAAGTAATTGTCTGTTGTACGCAAAATGTGTTTCTTTTGAAAAGATTTAGCTATAATTTGTGTGAATTTTTTGATTTTGGGATCAAAGGAGGAGATGCAAAGGACAAATCTTGAGTTAGATTCATTCAAGGAGAAGATTAAGGAGAATCAAGAAAAGATTAAGCTTAACAAGCAATTGCCTTACTTGGTCGGCAACATTGTCGAGGTAAATTTTTCTATAATGTTCAAATTTGAATCCGAATAACTACTTTAAAAGTTTGAATTTGTTTATTAGCTTCCTGATTTGAATCCATTATCAGCTTAGGAAATGTGGATTTAGATAATGTATATTCGAATTTCGAAGGTTAACATCCACATCCATTTCGGATATAATAATTCTAATATTTGAATCTAAATGTTAACCAAATATGAAAAAAAATGGATCCAATATTTGTGAATATCCAAATTTGCTCTCTCCATTACCATCCCTAATCACTAAATGAATACCGAACCATTGATTTGGATGTTTCAGTACTTAATTTCTGTTTCGTTCAGATATTGGAGACGAATCCTGAAGATGAGGCAGAGGAGGATGGTGCCAACTGTCGTAACCGTCTTTCGGTTGGTTCCCGGAATTGGGCTTCGACTTAGAAAAATGTGGATTGGAGTCGCCACCGATCATTTATTTAAAAATAAATGAGTTGATCGGATACCCTATTTCTTACCTGATATGCGTCTTACCAGAAATATGTCGGGCTCGGGAGTCGGTTACGGTTAAGGAAGGATTAGCACCCTTGAACCGCCCTTTCGGTACTACGTAATTTCCAGTTGTCTTAATTAAGAAAAATAACAAGTTAAATTAAAAGGTAAAGTTTCAATCCTAATTACTTACTATTGATTAATTTGAAAATATCCTTTAAAAAGAATCGAGAAATGTGTTAGATAAACAAGGTAAAGAAAACAAATAAGATACAAGGGAAAAATAAAATAAATAAAATAAATAAGTAAGAAAATAATAGTAAAGTAATAATTATATAATAATATTTGAAAAAAGAAAAAATATAAATATATATATATATATATATATATATATATATATATATATCAAAGTATTAATAAAATAATAAGCTATATATACACCAAACTTAAAAATAGAAAAGCTACCCTCCCAATTCACCGAAAGTGGGGGGCTTTAGTAAGAAATAAGACAAAAAAATGGACCATCTAGGTTAGTAGTATATATAATGTTTAATAATGATAATGATAAAGACACAATGTTTTTTTAAAGAAAATATAATATAATAATAATGAATAAAAAACAAAAATAATAAAAAATAATATAAGTTATAAAGTTATAAGATATATTACATAAATAATCAAATAAAATAATTAAGATATATATATTAATAATAGGTATATAAATAAACTATAAATAAAAAAATATACGACTAGATAAAGATAATTACAATATATATAGTAATATTAGACTTATAAGTAAAATATTAAATAAATATATATATATATATATATAATAATAAAATATAGTAAAAAAAATAAATGAAAATAATTATATATATATATATATACATATAATAATAATAACATGAATAATAAAAATAAATGAATAAAATATTCATATAATAAATAAAGGGACTAATATAGATTTTTTTTAAAAAGCTCTTCCCCTCCTTTAACCGAAAATCAAACCGGTTTTTAAAAATAAGCCTCGGGGTAGATCTAGGTTCGAAACTTCGAAACCCCACCCATTTTGGTCATCGGCGCAACCCACGTTTTGGGTTATTCGAACCAAATCTCAAGAAAAATAGCGTGCACATGCAAAAGAAAGAAAAAGAAAATGCTACCTTTATTTCCTTTTCGAATCCTTTACAATAGTTTTACCTTTGTATCTTCCCGTGCTTTCCTCTATGTTTTATGTGTAAATCATGTGTTACAATAGTGAGTTACAATGGCTATTTATAGTGCTTGTGGATCATATCTTTAGGAATTTAAATCTTAGTAGAACTCTATCCTATTTTTAGGAGTTTGAATCCTAGCAAAATGTTATCCTATTTTTAGGAGTTTGAATCCTAAAATTCTATCCTATTTTTAGGAGTTTGAATCCTAGTAGGACGAAAAATGTGTGTTGACAGCTGCCCCTCTTTGCCCATAGTCGTGTAACGGGGATAGGGCAAAGATTAAAAGACACACTTTTCGTTCAGTGGAGTTGAAAATTAACTCTGATGTTTCAATAACTCCCTCTCGAATTGAGTTACGGATGACTCCTCCATCGTGAAGTCGAGTTCATCTTGAAATGATATAAAATTAAAGCCGTCGTTCGGAATTTGAATCAGCACGTGGCTTCCCGTTACCCTTCGGTCTTCTTCTCGGTTTAAAGACCTTGGATCGGAATCGAACTCAGAAATCTTCATTAACAGATAGCTTTTTCTTGACTTAAGCTATGCTGTTTGAAAATGGTTGTTTGTCACTAAGGCACGGCTAACCCAGGTCCTCTTCTCGACTTGAAAACCTCAACTGCAACCGGAAAGTAGTGCGATTGATGTGTCATCGAGCTGAATGGAGTCGAACTCGAAAATTTTGATGGCAGATAATCCTTCTTTGAGTTGGATATCATTCGTCGTGAAGTTGAAATCCAAGTAAGTAGCATTGTTCCAAGTCCAATATCCTCCGTCGTGAAGTTGAAATTGGCTCTGGAACCGGGAAATTGTTTGTTGACAACCAGCCGTCCCTTCGTTGTGAAGTTGAACTTGTGTTGTCTCGAGTCCAATATCCTTCGTCGTGAAGTTGAAATTGGCTCTGAGATTGGGAAGTTGTTGTTGACAAGCAGCGGTCCCTTCGTCGTGAAGTTGAACTTGCATTGTCTGGAGTCCAATATCCTTCGTTGTGAAGTTAAAATTGGCTCTGAAATTGGGAAGTTGTTTTTGACAAGCAGCGGTCCCTTCGTCGTGAAGTTGAACTTGCGTTGTCTGAAGTCCAATATCCTTCGTTGTGAAGTTGAAATTGGCTCTGAAATTGAGAAGTTGTTTGTTGACAACCAGCCGTCCCTTCGTTGTGAAGTTGAACTTGTGTTGTCTCGAGTGCCACGATATCCTCCGTTGTGGAGTTGAAATCGCGGATGGCCCCTTCGTTGTGAAGTTGAGCCTTGACTTGAATATCCTTCGTCGTGAAGTTGAAATCCAAGTATTGTATGTTGCGGGTGGACACAATTCCCTTCGCCGTGAAGTTGAAACCGTGGAGACCCCTTTATTGTAAAGTTTGGCTTCGAGCTAGATATCCTTCGTCGTGAAGTTGAAATCCACTCTCGAGCAAATTGTGTTGTTTCGAGAGAAACTTTCAATCTGTTGAGTTGGTTGAAGTGTAGCTTCTTGCTGCTGAGTTGAGCAACCAACATCAATCTTTAAAGGGTGCTTTTGAATCGAGTATCCTTCGTCTTGAAGTCGAAACTTGACTCTAAAAGCTGCAAAAATTATGTATGTGGGAAAAAATGATAAATATGATGCTCTAAAATGCATGCATAAGATGCATGTAACATGAATTGGTTATATTTTATCTCCTGAAAAAGGCCTGATAGTTCACATTAGGATGTTGAATCCCCAAAGATGCCCCAAAAAATGCCCCAATATTTCATGTTGAATCTTCAAAGATGCCCCAAATGTTCCTCATTTCTTGCTTCAGCATTGATTCTGAGCATGAGTTTTATGTCTAAGAGTCACATGTCATTTATCAAGATCCACTCTAGAGAGACTGTCTTGTTTGAAAAAAAATGTTTTTCTTTCTTTTTTATTTTCAAAGTTATGAAAATATCAATTAAAAGAGTTTTGAAAAGTGTTTGATCCAAAGTTTTGAAAATATTGTCATTTTCACGGTTTTACAATTGAGACGAATCATAAAACTAGAGTTCATCGGATATCAAAGAATTAATTACAATGTTAATCCTTCAATAAATTATAGCTATTTGACAAGTGCCAAGATCAAAGCTATCTTTGGGAAATGGTTAACTAAGGAAATGATAAAAAGGTCTCAGGTTATTGTGTTTGGTCAAATGTTTGGCATTTGATGCTCAAAGGTTTGGCATTTGATGCTCAAGGTTTGATGGGGTAGCTTGCATGCTCCTATACTGGAAGTGTTCTTCGACTCCCAGTATTCGTGGTCACACTCGGATTGTGTGATGCCTTATCAAGGAATTTGTGTGATCGCCTCAGTTGCACAATTTTTATATTCGAGCCGCCTTTTCAGGTTTTTAACTCGAACCCTCCTTTGGTTTCAAGACGTTATTCAGAATTTACGTCTTGAACCCCCTTTGTTATTTTTCTCTACCATACATTAATTACATTGTTTTTTTGCAAATAAAGATTAATTCTGATGGGCGGGATGAAATTTGAAGATAGCCTCTTCTGTTTAGAAATCCATGTATGATTAGAAGGGACTTTTAAGGCACGTAATGTAGGTCAGGGTTCATAGTTATGAAAGAAAAGATAAATAGGCTCAAACAAGTGTTTCAAGGTGTTGAACCAAGAATCAATTCATTATGATGCCTTCAATCTTGCTCAAAATATTTCTCTCTCTTGATTCTCTATGATCTTCGAGTGAAGTGATTCAGTGATTCGGGAATGATTGTGCTTGATCAATCTCATAGTTTGAAGCTTGATGTGCCATTTGTCTTTAGGGAATCTTTGCATGTGCTTTTTTGTCCCTTTTTCTTTTTGATTTTTGTTCTTTCTTTTGTTTTCTTCTTTTTTTGCTTCTTTTTTTACCCTTTTTGTTCTGATTGAATCTTCGCACTTGGCATTTGGTTCACCATTTGGTATCTCATCTGAATCAATGTCTTCACTCATGCGAGCAGGTTTTCTCCACCTTGCCCCCTAGTGTGGGGGGTGATCCTTGGTTAGGGTTGAATCAAAAGAAAAATACTACAGGCTCAAAAGGGGACACAAGGGATATATATTTTCTCCTGTTGTGAAGGGATAAAGAGAGAAAGCCGTTCATCATTTCATACATGGAAGTCCTCACAGAAGAGGTATCCCCAGGGGGATAGATTTGCAGGATTAATTCTATTCACATGAAAACAGTGTAGTTAATGCGTGATAGAATTATTTCGAATGAATTGTTTTTTCTGCTCCTTGCTCCCAACATGTCTCAATGTTCAGGCTCCCGGCGAGATGCCCCAAGTTGTGTCTTTAGAAGAATGCTCATGTTCAAATGACCAATTCAATGCCTTGGGTATTAAAATGTCAATTTTGAGTCTAAAAAGACAAGGGTGTGACTTTATTTGACTCAAAGAAAGGTATGGGTGTATCATAAAGGTAAAGGCAATGTTCAAGAATTTCAAAGGGAGGTAATGTCAAAATTTGGTCTTTTTGGTAATGACCATGAGTTATTTTGGGTAAGGAATCAGGGTATTTTGTTTTGGGGTTTGAGACAGGATAAGAAAGGTCTAATCTCGCCATATGTCAAAAATCTATAATTCTTGAGGAATTAAAAGAATCCTTAATTCATTTAATATTCGAAGAACTAAAGATTAAAAATTGTTCAATTGCTCCACTTTAGAAAGTAGCATAAATTCAATCCTTTAAAAGATTAAGTAAACATGAAAGATCAAAGACGTGTTCAAACAAAACAATCCTCTAAGTGCAAATGGTATATGTCATGCCCCCTTCTTCGGCAAGCGCCTTACAGTTTCAGAAGAATGTTTGGGGCTTCTTATGTGGTAACAACTAACAACTTCAACATCGTAGCCCTTAGGATATGGGGACTCTTTTCTCAGATCATCCTGGCAGGCTTAGTCCTACAATCAGCTGATCCTGCTCTCCCTGTACTGATTTCAGTTTTTCTTTAATTGTTAAAATCTTGCTTTCATGTGGTGTAATGTGGTTAAGACCACTTCATCGAATCCTCCGTGACTTAATTTCATGTTTATGAAAATGCTTTAAAATGTAGATGAAGATGCAAAAATGCAAGAATGCATGAAATGTTCGAGGCATTGATCCAAGAAATGTGCCTGTTATTATGAATAATCCTTATTGGGGACAGAAATGTTTTATCTTTTAAGAGACAAAAATATCCTGACAGCTTCTGACATGTTGACTAGTCTTCTGCTTTCGTCTTTCACCGGTTGAATAACTTGTCGAACCGCTCCGGCCTCTCTGGATGAACCGTGAAAATGTTGAGTTATTTTTTGTACTGGTCCAAGAAGTCTCGAATGACCGCATCTCGAGCATTTACTTTTGTTGAGCCTGTTCCCAACGAATTCGTTATTTGATCCCTTAATTGATAGGAACTATGTGAAGTTCATTAGTCTGTTTCTTGAATTTGCCAGTAATGGTCTCCAATTTCAGCTATCATTTTGCCATTGTCGTGTTCAAAGGGACTTCCAAGATACATAACTTTCATCCTGCCCCTGCAACCTCTGCCAGTCAGTTCTTCAAAGATAAGCTTTCATTGTGCTTGATGTAGACCCGGTTCATTCCAAGTCCTTTAAAATATAGCAGAGTGATATACTCTTCAATTGTGGGCACCACGTCTTCTGGATTGAATGTGACACATAGTCGCCTTGTAGACTATCCTTTGTATTTTCATCTCTTGTATTACAACACCTTTGTTCATGGATTCAGATTATTCGAGTTTTAACAAACACGTTTTAGTGGATCAATACCTCTTTTAAATGATGCAAGTGATGAAAGTAAAAGGAAAGAAAGATGAAAAGAGTTAGTGAGGTGAAAAATAATAAAAAACGATCATGAAAATGAAAAATCCTACCCCACATGATATCTACCCCACATGCTTATTATTCCTACCCGGACATGATCTCTATCCCGCATGCTAATCTCAAACAAATCCTAATCGCATATTTGTTTAGTTCGCATGCTTTGAACATAAAGTAAGGCAGGAAATAAAATCAAAGCAGCCTAAGGTTTGGAATGAGGTTTTGGGGTGGGCTCTAATTCTCCATCTCCCGGTTTAGGTTCTAAAAAAACGGTACCCGAGTTCTCCTTGCCGGTGCCCCCTTGGGCTTGCCAGACCCTTAGTCCTAAACCCATCGCAGGCTTGTATGGACTAAGTTAAACTCGAGAGGACACATTCCCTTATGCCCGCACGGTGAATAAATTCACACGAAGACATAAGGTATATGAATCCCGAAGGCTACTTGCTAGGCCCGCACGGTGAATAAATTCACACGAAGGCGTCGCTTTCACCCCCACTTAAAATAGGGTTTGGAGCTCGGGTATAGAGCCTAAGATGAAAAAAAACTTTGAAGGCTGAAATCATGAGAAAACGATTAGTTAACTATTTACTCGAAAATATAATCAAAAGTGAGTAAAAGGATCGAAATATTACCTTAAAATTTAAACTTACCCTTTTCGTTAAAAAGACAATTGGAAATTACCTTAGCCTGACTCACTTACATGTGTCCCCAGCGGAGTCGCCAAGCTGTCGTAACCGTCTTTCGGTTGGTTCCCGGAATTGGGCTTCGACTTAGAAAAATGTGGATTGGAGTCGCCACCGATCATTTATTTAAAATAAATGGGTTGATCGGATACCCTATTCTTACCTGATCTGCGTCTTACCAGAAATATGTCGGGCTCGGGAGTCGGTTACGGTTAAGGAAGGATTAGCACCCTTGAACCGCCCTTTCGGTACTACGTAATTTCCAGTTGTCTTAATTAAGAAAAATAACAAGTTAAATTAAAAGGTAAAGTTTCAATCCTAATTACTTACCCTTGATTAATTTGAAAATATCCTTTAAAAAGAATCGAGAAATGTGTTAGATAAACAAGGTAAAAAAAACAAATAAGATACAAGGGAAAAATAAAATAAATAAAATAAATAAGTAAGAAAATAATAGTAAAGTAATAATTATATATAGTAATATTGAAAAAAGAAAAAAAATATAAATATATATATATATATCAAAGTATTAATAAAATAAATAAGCTATATATACACCAAATACTTAAAAATAGAAAAGCTACCCTCCCAATTCACCGAAAGTGGGGGGCTTTAGTAAGAAATAAGACAAAAAAAAATGGACCATCTAGGTTAGTAGATATAAATAAATGTTAATAATGATAATGATAAGACACAATGTTTTTTTTAAAGAAAATAATAATATAATACTAATGAATAAAAAAACAAAAATAATAAAAAATAATATAAAGTTATAAGTTATAAGATATATTACATAAATAAAGAATAATCAAATAAAAATAATTAAGAATATATATTTAATAATAGGTATATAAATAAACTATTAAAAGTATAAAAATATATACGACTAGATAAAGATAATTACAATATATATATATAGTAATATTAGACTTATAAGTAAAATATTAAATAAATATATATATATATATATATAATAATAATAAATATAGTAAAAAAAAATAAATGAAATAATTTTATATATATATATACATATATAAATAATAACATGAATAATAAAAAAATGAAAAATATTCATATAATAATATAAGGGACTAATATAGATTTTTAAAAAGCTATTCCCCTCCTTTAACCGAAAATCAAACCGGTTTTTAAAAATAAGCCTCGGGGTAGATCTAGGTTCGAAACTTCGAAACCCACCCATTTTGGTCATCGGCGCAACCCAGTTTTGGTTATTCGAACCAAATCTCAAGAAAAATAACGTGCAATGCAAAGAATGAAAAAATAAAATGTACCTTTTATTTCCTTTTCGAATCCTTACAATAGTTTACCTTTGTATCTTCCCGTGCTTTCCTCTATGTTTTATGTGTAAATCGTGTGTTACAATGGTGAGTTACAATGGCTATTTATAGTGCTTGTGGATCCTATATTTTGGAATTTAAATCTTAGTAGAACTCTATCCTATTTTTAGGAGTTTGAATCCTAGCAAAATGTTATCCTATTTTTAGGAGTTTGAATCCTAAAATTCTATCCTATTTTTAGGAGTTTGAATCCTAGTAGGACGAAAAATGTGTGTTGACACCAACATTTCAACATTTTCTGAGAATTGGTGAGAGCACTTGGTTTTGATCTTGATTTGTTTTGTAACGACTACATACCATCTTTCTACCTGTGGTTGGACTCGTTGACCCTGATACGTTGAAACCCGGTGATTTGGTTGGGGTCAATAAAGATAGCTACTTGTTTTTGGATACACTCCCGTCTGAATACGACTCTCGAATAAAGGCTATGGAGGTTGATGAGAAACCAACCGAGGACTATAATGACGTTAGTGGCTTGGAAAAGCAGGTAGGTTTTTATTCCACTGCCTTTTGGGTCTCATTTAATGACTGCTTAAGCGAACGATGCCCTTTTCCGTATTTCCCCTGTGATGGGTTTTCAATTTTCATGGAACAGATCCAAGAACTAGTTGAGGCCATTGTATTGCCCATGACTCATAAAGAACGGTTTCGAAAGCTAGGCGTTCGTCCACCTAAGGGTGTGCTCTTATACGGACCTCCTGGCACTGGAAAAACTTTGATGGCTCGTGCTTGTGCGGCACAAACAAATGCCACATTTCTTAAGCTAGCAGGCCCACAACTGGTTCAGGTACGAAGTCCTTTTTTCTTTTCCAAACTTTCTTCTCTAGATGTTTAGATCCTGTTTAATTTCCAATTCAGCTCTGTATCCCATCCTCGTTCTTGGTTATTATAACATGAAAGGAAGATGATAGTGAGTAATTAAAATATTGTAATTCACGTAGATGTTCATTGGAGATGGAGCAAAACTTGTCCGTGATACCTGTCGTATTCTTTTCCAAACTTTCTTCTCTAGATGTTTAGATCCTGTTTAATTTCCAATTCAGCTCTGTATCCCATCCTCGTTCTTGGTTATTATAACATGAAAGGAAGATGATAGTGAGTAATTAAAATATTGTAATTCACGTAGATGTGTTGGATATATGAACTGCAAAACTACACCGTTAGCACTGACTGAAAATATAAACAGTAATTAAGAAGAACAGATTCGTAAACCGTGTCGTGGTAAGAACCACTGCCTTAGAAACGAATTCGCCTCGATGTGTGTAATCGCTGCAGTAGGCGGACCGTCCCCCGAGGTTAACACGGTCGCTCCGAATTCCGTACACCCGAAACCGGAGTGGACTGCTGGTGGTATTGCACTTCTGATCGGAAAGCACTCAGAGAGAACTCACAGAGAGAACTTTAGAAAACACTTTGGTAAGTGAATTGTGAATGTTTTGGAGTGAGTTGAGAAGCTGAATATAGCTCTCTATTTATAGGCTAGAAATAGGGTTAAAGTCGTCCATAAAATTTCAGGATTAAACCTCTTATTTGTAACAGCTGAAACGACTAGATGAACCTGACTCAGAAATAGTCCAGGTTCATTGTATCATTATTCAGCTGTTATAACTCCCGAAATTATATCATGTAACCCCTGGAATTAAATCAAATAACTCCTGTAACTCCTGATATTAACAGCTTGTCTCCTCTGTACAAAGCTGTAAATCAGTCCAGGTACATCTTAACGTTTCTGATTTAATTAGGAATAAATGTTTAATTTCTGATAAAAATAATTCAGCTGTTATTATTTGAAATTCAAACAGTCCTCAGCAGCCTATAAATATCAGTTGATATCTTTCACATTTTCCATTTGTTTCTTTCAAAGAGAAATTCCTCAAGAATTTTCTCTAAAAAGATAGTATCCGCGCGGACGTGTCGAAGACACGTATTACCACGACCACGACCACACGACCACGACCTCGACCTCGACCTCGACCTCGACCACGACCACGACCACGACCACGAGCCGAGCCGAGCCGAGCCGTGCCGTGCCGTGCCGAGCCGAGACGAGACGGACGGACGGCGGCGGCGGTGCGCGAGAGCCCCCCTTGTTCTCTATCACTCAACAAGGAAGTGGAATGTCAAGCTTAAATACATTCCCAATAGTGTTTCCAACACTATGTGGGATTGAGCATTACCAACATTCCCCCACTAATGCGAAAGAAATCTTCTGAAACTCGAAAACAAGCTTTCCAGAAGAGTAATAGCGAGATTAGTTGCTTAAGCACTAGTGAACATATCTGGAACTAGTACATAGTGATGATGAGCAATCCTTCTCTTAGATAAGTGAAACTAGTCTGGAACTTTCTAAGATCAGGGTAAACTCATAACACACAACTAACCCCTTCATCCACCTGAGTCCTCGATGTGTAAGATATATATATACAAAAGTATATTTGGCCATCTTACCTCAGGATTCTAGTAAGTGTGCTAGAAAAATAGCCCAAATTTTTCATAGAAGGCGGCTAACCCTTTCACTTACATAGGTTATTTCATCAAGTTTATCTCAACATAAACCACCCTTTAAAAAGGAATATGAAATAATTAAGAGCTTTTATAGCTCAACCTCACAAAGGGTATGGTGACTTTTTTCAAGTTCATTATAAATGAACCACCCAAACTCTGGGCTAAGAAGTCATTAAATAAATATTCAACCTCATTTATCGGTAAATTCAATAAGTCCTTCTCACTAGAACCATCCAAATACTTGGATTTGAATTTATTAAGAGTTTAACAAACTCAACCTTTCTGTCGGTAAGTTCATCATTTCCTACCCACTCACTTTGGGTTATGAACTTATTAAGAATAGATATTCAGCCAAAATCGGTAAATTCATCAAGTCTTCTCACTAAGACCACCCAAAGCCTGGGCTATGAATTTATTAAGAGCAATTAAGCTCATCCTGGGCATGCACATTATTCATCATAGGGATAGGCAGTAGGAATGTGCACTATGAGTCTTTCCATGGTTTCGTTTGACCACATGGAACTTAGATAACTAAGTTGGGTATCCACCATGAATTCCTCAACCAATGGGCTTTAGACCCATCCCCCTCGACGAATCTAGGACCAGCTTCCGACTTAACCCTTTGGTAAGTGGATCTGCTAGGTTCCTTTCCGACTTCACATACTCTAAAGAGAGCACTCCATTCTTTATCAAGTGTCTAACTGATTCATGTCTTATGCGAATGTGTCTTTTCTTACCATTGTAAGCTTGGTTCTTAGCCACACATATCGCAGCTTGTGAATCACACAACAATGAAACTGGAGGAGTCGGTCTTCCCACAACGGAATATCTGCTAACAAGCTTCTGAGCCACTCGGCTTCTTACCCAGCTAGGTCAAGAGCTATAAACTCTGACTCCATGGTAGAACGAGCAATACAAGTCTGCTTTGATGATTTCCACGAGATCGCTGCTCCACCCAAAGTAAAACATACCCGCTCGTAGAGCTTACCTCATCATTATCAGAAACCCAGTTGGCATCACAATATCCTTCCAATACCGCAGGAAAGCCAAACAAACTCAAGTTTCCAATTCACAGTACCCTTAAGATACTTCAGTAAGCGTTTAAGCGCAATCCAGTGCTCACCACTCGGATTATGAGTATATCTACTTAGTCTACTCACAGCATAAGCAATATCAGGCCGAGTATAGTTCATTAAGAACATTAAACTTCCGATTAATTTAGCATATTCAGTTTGGGAAACACTACTTCCTTTATTCTTAACTAGATGTATGCTAGGGTCATAAGGAGTTCGAACAGGGACGACATCAAAACTGTCAAATTTCTTTAGCACTTTCTCTATATAATGTGCTTGACATAAAGAAAATCCCTTCTCAGTTTTGGTAATTTTGACTCCTAAGATTACATACTTCTCCCAAATCTGTCATCTCAAACTTAGTGGACAAGAAATTTTTAACTTTGTTAATGGACTCAATGTTAGAACTGAAAATCAACATGTCGTCAACATAAAGACTTATGATAACACATTCAGTTTCAAACATCTTCGAATACACACAAGCATCCGAACCATTCAAACAAAACCAAAACTAAGAATAGTTTTATGAAATTTCTCATACCACTGTTTAGGAGCCTGCTTAAGTCCATAGAGTGACTTTTTGAGTCTACAAACTTTGCCTTCCATACCAGGTGCCTCAAAACCTAGTGGCTGCTCCATGTAAATCTCCTCATCTAGATCCCCATTCAAGAAAGCAGTCTTAACATCCATTTGATGTACCTGCAACTTATGAATAGAGGCTAGTGCAAATAATGCACGAATCGTTGAGATTTTTGTAACGGGAGAGTATGTATCAAAGTAGTCTAAACCAAACCTTTGAGTGAACCCTTTGACGACTAACCTTGCCTTGTATCGCTGAATCGAACCATCTGGCCTTAGTTTCTTCCGGAAGACCCATTTGTTGGAGATTGGTTTGAATCCCTTAGGCAAGTCAACTAATTCCCAAGTATGATTAGACATTATCGATTCTAGTTCATCATTAACAGCGCTTTTCCAAAAACTAGCATCGATAGATCTTATAGCTTCTTCAAAAGTTTTAGGATCCTCATCTAATAGAAAAATTTGAGCTATAGGATCTGAAATGAAGTCTAAATCATTTATCTCAGAAATAAAGGAAGTAATAAAATCTGGTCCAAAAGAGGTTTCAACTCTTTGCTTTTACTTCTTCTAGGCTCAAAATCATTTTGTTCAGAAGACCTAGCAGGTTTCTAGAAGAAGTTGATGGAATATATTCTATTTGTGTTTCAATATTTATTCTCGGTTCCTTTAAAGGAAAAGTATTTTCAAAGAAACAGCATCTCTTGATTCACAAATAGAATAATCTTGTAAAAGCATGAATCTGTATGCAGCACTATTCGTAGCATACCCTATAAACACTGCATCAACGGTTTTAGGTCCGATGGTGAACTTCTTAAAGTCTGGCAAGCCCACTTTAGCCAGACACCCCCACACTTTCAGGTATTGTAATTAGGAGCGTATCCTTTCCACAATTCATATGGGGTAGAATCTAATTTCTTATGAGGAACCGGTTCAAGATATGAGTTGCCGATAGAATGGCCTCCCCCCCACATGTTATCAGATAACCCAGAACTTATTAGTAAAGAATTCATCATCTCTTTTAAAGTTCTATTTTTCCTTTCGGCTATACCATTCTGTTGAGGAAAATAGGGGGCTGATGTTTCATGAATTATGCCATTCTTTTCACAAATATCTTTTAAGAAATTAGATCCATATTCACCACCTCTATCAGATCTAACTCGTTTGATTCTCCTATCTAACTGATTTTCAACTTCTGCCTTATAAATAAGAAAGAAGTTTTCAGCTCATCTTTAGTTCTTAGGAGATAAACTTTTGTATATCTTGAATAATCATCTACAAAAGTTATGTAGTAGTGTTTTCCTCCTTTACTTTCAGTGTTTCTAAAATCTGCTAGATCAGTATGAATGAGTTCTAACAGTTCAGTCTTTCTATTAGAAACAGTCTTAAAGTGAGGTTTAGTATGCTAGCTTCTACACAAATCTCACATTTGTTAAAGCTAGTTGTGTCTAGTTTAGGCAGAACATTCATATTCATTAATTTCTTTAAAGCATGAATATTCACGTGTCCTAATCTAGCATGCCACATATCAATGGATTCAACAATATAAGCAGAAGTGGTAGCTTTATTTTCATTAAATTGAGTTTCTATGACAAATAAATCATTGCTTAAAAACCCTTTCCCCACATAATCACCATTTCGGGAAAGTACAAGTTTATCTGCCTCAAAAAAACTTAATGCCTGCCTTATTCAGAAGCCCACCACTTATCAAATTTCTACGCAAGGCAGGTACAAACAGAACATTATTTAAAGCCAGAGTTTACCAGAAGTCAGTTTGAGTAAAACCTTGCCTTTGCCTAGCACTTCAGAGCTGCTAGAGTTCCCCATGTACACGTTCACCAGTGTTTCCATCCTCGAACTCAGTGAAAAACTCCTTCCTTGCGCAGAAAGCTTCGAAGCGCCAGTGTCAACTACCCTTCTGAACTGTTCTCCACCAGATTAACTTTTGAGACCACCGCAGCAATGATCTCATCATCTTTCTACAACGTGCATCTGTGGCTTGTTGTCATTTCTGGCGGTCTGAGCGGTGTTGGCATTGGTAAGCCTTGTGGCCAGGTAAACCGCAGACATAACACTTGAACGTCTTTCCTTCCGGTTTGGCCTTTCCTGACTTCTTGAAGTTGGTAGCCTTCTGTGGTTTCGTCTTTTTGTCTTGATTCCCACGTTTCATGATCTTCTTAAATTTGGACTCAACCAAGTTAGCTCTAAAAGATAAATTACTCATAGAATTAGTAAGCTTATCTTTTAAACGGTTGGCTTCTTCAATCTTCATATGGCCCACAAGTTCTTCAAGCGAAATGTCTCTCTTCTTATGCTTAGAGAGTTACGGTAATCGGACCAGGACTTGGGCAGTTTCTCAATGAGTACATTGGCTTGCAGCACCTCACACATTTGCATCCCTTCAGCGATGATGTCAGCGACTAAGTTCTCATAGTCATGGATTGATCCATTATTGGCTTATCGTCTGTCATCTGGAATTTGAGCCATTCGCCGACAACGTACTTCTTGATCCCCGCATCATCCGCACCATACTTCTTGTCGAGAGTGTCCCATATTGCCTTGGCACTCTTTTCTCTAAGGAACATATCAAATAGTTTATTTGACATGTGGCTGAGCAGATGTCCTCGTACCGTCTTGTTATCCTTCTCGAATTTCTCGTAAGTAGCGAGAGCGGCGGCGGCAGTTGCTAAGGCATCATCATTGAGGACCGCATCAGCATCATTACCAACAGCTGGTTGGCGGCATGGTAGGTGGTGGCTTGAGCAACACGTAATCAAGATCAAGTTGCTCGAAGAATATAAGAATTCTTTGGGACCACCTTCTATAGTTCTTTCCATCAAGTGCATCGAGCTTGGAAAGATCGGGAATGAGTTTGCTCAAAGGTGTCGACATGATTGCAGTTTATGGGAATTCGTTTCTAAATTGTTGGATATATGAACTGCAAAACACCGTTAGCACTGACTGAAAATATAAACAGTAATTAAGAAGAACAGATTCGTAAACCGTGTCGTGGTAAGAACCACTGCCTTAGAAACGAATTCGCCTCGATGTGTGTAATCGCTGCAGTAGGCGGACCGTCCCCGAGGTTAACACGGTCGCTCCGAATTCCGTACACCCGAAACCGGAGTGGACTGCTGTGGTATTGCACTTCTGATCGGAAAGCACTCAGAGAGAACTCACAGAGAGAACTTTAGAAAACACTTTGGTAAGTGAATTGTGAATTTTGGAGTGAGTTGAGAAGCTGAATATAGCTCTCTATTTAGGCTAGAAATAGGGTTAAAGTCGTCCATAAAATTTCAGGATTAAACCTCTATTTGTAACAGCTGAAACGACTAGATGAACCTGACTCAGAAATAGTCCAGGTTCATTGTATCATTATTCAGCTGTTATAACTCCCGAAATTATATCATGTAACCCCGGAATTAAATCAAATAACTCCTGTAACTCCTGATATTAACAGCTTGTCTCCTCTGTACAAAGCTGTAAATCAGTCCAGGTACATCTTAACGTTTCTGATTTAATTTAGGAATAAACTGTTTAATTTCTGATAAAAAAATAATTCAGCTGTTATTATTTGAAATTCAAACAGTCCTCAGCAGCCTATAAATATCAGTTGATATCTTTCACATTTTCCATTTGTTTCTTTCAAAGAGAAATTCCTCAAGAATTTTCTCTAAAAAGATAGTATCCGCGCGGACGTGTCGAAGACACGTATTACCACGACCACGACCACGACCACGACCTCGACCTCGACCACGACCACGACCACGAGCCGAGCCGAGCCGAGCCGTGCCGTGCGTGCCGAGCCGAGACGAGACGGACGGACGGCGGCGGCGGCGGTGCGCGAGAGCCCCTTGTTCTCTATCACTCAACAAGGAAGTGGAATGTCAAGCCTTAAATACCATTCCCAATAGTGTTTCCAACACTATGTGGGATTGAGCATTACCAACAAGATGTTCATTGGAGATGGAGCAAAACTTGTCCGTGATACCTGTCGTAACCGGTTTTCGTCCGGGCACGAAATATTTATTTGGCGGGAAAATTGATGTGAATAAATGGTTTTGAAAATAATTTGGGAGTCGCCATCGGTCTTTTGGGTCAGGTAGTTCGAATACCTAAAAATTATTTTTTAAAAGAGTTTTAAGAAAACATCAATTAAAAAATGAACTGATCTGCATTTATAACCAAAAATTCGTTCTTTTAATAATAAAAAGGGATTCGTGGTCGGTTACGTTTAGGGAAGGATTACACCCTACAACGCCCAAAATTAGTACTTTTTAATTATAAATTGTCTCTATTATTAAAAATTTTAAAAATTCAAAATATATTTAATTTATAATCCTATTATTTCAAAATTATATAAAAAATAATTAAAAATATCGGAAAAGGACTTCTAGGTGCCTTAAGACAGCTCTTTTCTTTGATATTGATAAATATTAATTTAAATTAAATAATTTTTAATTTTAAAATACCAGAATAAGACATCCAGTTGTATTAAGACTGTCATTTTCTTCGATATTGAAAAATAAATATTAAAATAATTTATTTAAAATAAATATTTATTTATTGTATATATTTATGACTACATAATAACAATATTTAAATATATAAACAAGTAAAATAAAAATACAATTAGAACTATATATTTAAAAGCAATAAAAATATTTAAAGTTATTGACTAAATTATAGTAAAATTAAAATTAAAAACCTAATTCATAATTAATCAAAATTATAGGGATTAAACATGCTATTTTCTTATTTTATTAATTTAGTGACTAAAATAAACTTATCTAAAATTCGAAATATCATATTGAAATAAATTAAAAATATAAACTAGGGATTAAAATATTATTTATTAAAATTAAGGGATTAAATCTGTTATTTATCCTAAATATATTATTTTAATATAAAGGACTAAAATAAATAAAACTAAAATTTAAAGTTCAAATTAAAAGGATTATAAACTCGATTTAGTGACTAAAATATAAAAATTACAAGTTGGAATGGCTTCGGACGGGGTTTACCCTTTATGAAATTACAGAAATACCCTCCCCAAAACGACGTCGTTTGGGAGAGGGTATTAATACCCTAAACCGGCTGGCCCTACGGGCCAGCTTCTCATTTCTTCCTTTTTGTTCTCTCTCTAACAGAGAGAGAACAAAATTTCTCTCTGGCTTCTCTCTAGCTTCCCTCATCGGAGGGAAGCCGGTCACCGGACGGCAACCGTCTGCCGCCGTGACCCTCACCGCCAGCCACCGTATCCGGTGGCCGGAAAATGTTATTTTTACATCTTTAGGTAGATCGGACCGTCCTAAGGACGGTTCCAACGTTTTTTTTTTTCTAAATAGCTCTTGATCGGAGCGAATATAAAGAAATACCTTCGGTTTCCGAAGGTTTTGATGACGTTTGAAAGATCCGGTGACTTCCTCGGTAAGCTTCTTTCCTTTCTTTTTGTTTCTGTTTTGGGTTTACTGTTGGTTGTGGTTTGTTTCTCTCTGTTTTCTGTCTCTCTCCGTCTCTGTTGTGGTTTCCCGGTTCTTCCTCCCTTTTTTTTTTCTTTGCAGGTTGGATGATGGCTTTATAGCCATCACCGGTGTTCGTTTCGGACCGGTCCGAAGGGTAAAATTCAGTGAGTCACCGGACCGTAGGTGGTGACTCACCCCAGGGTTGGAACGTGGACGGCGTTCCTTGCTTCCTCTGGAGGTTTCTGTTGAAGCGTGGCAGCAGTGGATGGACGGGTCAGAGAGGCGGCCGGCGTCGTGGCCCTAGGGTATCATAACCCTAGGGTTTCCTGCTGGAACCCATCTGGACCGTTGGATCTTGCCAGATCCAACGGTAGCAAGCTGAGGCGGCTGGGAAGAGGGAAACCCTAATCTGTTAGGGTTTGTGATGGGCCATTTGTAATTGGGTCGGTCGATTGGGCTTGTATATTTTTTTATTATTATTTATATATGTATAATATATATTTAATAATAATAATAATAATAATGATAATAATAATAATAATTATAATAAAAATAATAATAATAAATCAATATGGGTAAAAAATTAGTATCTTCAATACCTTTCAGCTCGCAAAAGAAAAATCTCCTTGCATCATTTTTATAGATGAAATTGATGCAATTGGTACAAAGCGTTTTGATAGGTAATTCATAACTCTATGGCTTCTATTTTCCCCATAATATTCTTAAATTAGCTGACCCTATTCCCTTATGTAATGGGGTAGGGGGAGGTAGGATAGTAGGCTGTCCCCAATGTCAAGTTAAGAGCATCTTCGGTGGGAGACCTCCGGCAGTCAGAATTATAAATTGCCCACCGTAGGACTCGATCTCACGGTCACAAGATTAAAAACCTTACGCTCTTACCAACTGAGCTGGACGGGCAATCATACTTTCCCCATAATATTCTTGAATTCTTCAATTGATTTTGTAGATCCACTCAAGGAAGATGAACGTCCATCTGGATGTCAACTTTGAAGAACTTGCTCGTTCAACTGATGATTTCAATGGAGCACAACTGAAAGCTGTTTGTGCGGAGGCAGGCATGCTAGCACTTTGACGTGATGCAACGGAGGTGCACTTTTTACTCCTGCGTCTATTTTTGAGTTTATTTATATCGCCAGTTTTGCTTGTGAACGTTTGAGTCATAGGAGCAATTTCGAAAATCGGGTTTCGGTCTGACTACAGGTAAACCATGAAGATTTCAATGAAGGTATCATTCAGGTTCAAGCTAAGAAGAAGGCAAGCTTAAATTACTACGCATGATGAGGAGAGCATTTTCACCATTAGAAGTAAGAAAGGTGCCTTTCCCTTGCTACAAGGGAAGGGAAAGCAAGCCCAATTGGGTGAGCGAAATGTCGATTGATTAGGTTCAGGAGTTTATTTGATTTTTTGTTTTATACAGTTACGTACTTTCATTTCAACTTATTCATTGTCATTAGGTTATTTTAAGATTATTTTTTTCAATTCTTATAAATAAATTTTGAATAATTAATTAAGAGTTTCGACAAGATATTACATTACATTTAAAACTCTTATTTTTAAAATTACAACAAATGATATAATTTCTAAACACGATTTAAAATTTAACTTTTGTCTCATAAAAATGCCATCTATTTTATCCAAAGTCTAGGATGAAATACTAAAAATTTTAAGTGAAATTAGGAGCTCGAATACATGTATAAATAAAGTGAACTAAATTAAAATGGTTGTTCTTTTAATAAATTTATGAGAAAATAACCTCAGTGACCAAAAATCCCATATAATATACGATTTTAACCAACTTTTTCCGGATTTGCCAAAATGACCAACAAAATCGCAATGTGATCGCTAATTCGCAAACGCGATCTCCATTATCGCAAATACGCGTTGCATTTTCGCAATGCGATAGTTGAAAATCGCGTTGCGATGGTCTACAGTATCGTTGCGATTTTCCCAATTCGCAATGCGAATAAGTAAATCGCAACGCGAATTGGGAAATTCGCAATGCGAATAAGTAAATCGCAACGCGAATTGGGAAAATCGCAATGCGATACTGACTATCGCAATGCGATAATAAAAAATCGCAACGAGATACTTACTTTCGCAACGCGATACTGACTTTCGCAACGCGATTTACTTAGCGCCATTCGTATTAACGCGTATTTTTTTTTTCAAATTCCAAACACGTATTTTTTCTTAATAAATCGGAAAATGAACCGTCCACAGTAATCGCACGCAACTCATAACCTCAAACCCAAGCACACAACACTCAGTCATCTCCATCTTTCACTCTCTACGGCGAAATCCGTCCCCATCTCCGAAGATTTCCGTCCCCATCGCCGGCGAAATCCTCACAACCATTCACAGTCAAAAATCCCTCACAATCATTCAGAAATGGAAAATCAACCTCCGAGGGTTAGTTTTTTTTATTTTTATTTTGAAATTTTTGCATTATTTTAGGTTTTTCATATTGAGATTGATGATAAGTTTACTGGTAATTTCAATAATAGATTAACCATTTCACTTAGATTTATTAAATTCATTCGATTGCTGTCAATACTGCTAAACTGTTTAGCCTGTGAAGTTAGTATTTGTCTTTGTTTTGTCTTTTGGTTGAAGTAATGCAGAAGAAGAATAGTTTCGAGAATGAAAATCGCAAAGCGGAAATAACTATCGCAACGCGAAATAAAAATCGCAACGCGAAACCAAAATCGCATTGCGATTTTCATTTCGCGTTGCGATTTTCATTTCGCGTTGTGATTTTCATTTCGCGTTGCGATTCTCTCGTCGCGATAGTCATTTCGCGTTGCGATTCTCATTGCGATAGTCATTTCCGCGTTGCAATTTCATTATCTCGTTGCGATTTTCATTTCAACCAAAAGACAAAACAGTGTTGCAAATTTTAGTTTCAAGAATAAACTACTATTTATGTTTATTGTTTTGTTTTTGGTATATCTTGACAGTTTAATTTTTGGTATATCTAACTTGGTATGTTTATTGTTTTTTTGTAGAAATTTTTTTCGGCTTCATTGACATTAAGGAATAAAGTTAGCCTAGCCACTACAATTGCTTCGAAGCTTTCACCTGCACAAAGAAAATTGTTTAAAACTGCTTCGGGCCATGGCTGAGAGTACAGCATCCGGGTGGAGATGCTAGTTTGACCCATTTGTGGCTTCAGACCATGACTAGCGATCTACCTGACAGTATACAACGTGGTGAGGAAGAGATATGGTTTCATTTTCCACCGGCGTATACTTTTTGGGCGGAAGGAGTTCTGCTTAATCACTGGTCTACGATTCGGACACGATGATGTAGGCCGGTACACTCGTCATATCACCCGCCCATCATGGTTATCCAGGGTTTTTCCTGATGAGTCAATAGAGAAGCCGAACTTACACGTCGACGACATGAAGAAATTGTTTAATAAGAAAGATGGTTTTACTCGGATGAATGACGTCGATGTTGTCCGAGTATGCCTTCTACTACTTTTGTATGCCGGCTTTCTAGGCAGAGAGGCCAGACAACCTATTCCTCAGGAGCTAATATTATTGGTAGAAGACCTAAATGCATGGAATCTGTTTCCGTGGGGTTCGTATATATGGAAAGCTACCTGGACTAAGTTGTCGTCTGCCTTTGATGACCGCAAAAGTTTGCGGGGCGATGGGTCGAAATACACTTTGTCAGGCTTTGTTTGGGCCTTTAAGGTAAGAATTTCTATATAATGTTTCAAAATTATAATTAATTATTTAACAATTACTAATGTTTGTTATATATTGTTTGTAGATTTGGATATTCGAGGCTTTCCCCAGCATGCGGACATATGCATTAAAATCCTCAGATGATATTCCTAGGGCTATTTCCTGGAAGAGGAAACGTATGTTGGATTGGGAAGACTTAATACCATATGCGACAAAATAATGTAAGTTAACACAAATACTATCATATATAAACAAGTTATTAATAGTAGACGTTTAACTTTGTTTTAGTTTTTATATTATTAGGAGGCCAACACTCCATTAATGAGACTGACACACACGGAGGCTGAGCTTGCCACTGATTGGTGGCAAGCTAGTCAGCGTTTTTTTGATGGCACGAATGATGAGCAGCCTCCACTTCCTCCACTTCGAGAGCCATCACCTCACCCAGAGCCATCACCTGATCGACCCGACTATACACCTCTACAACGAGAGCCATCACCTATCCCGTCACATCATCGAGTCTCTTCTCCACCATCACTCATGATAGGCGACCGACAAAGATGCCACGACTTCTATCTCCCTGTTCTCCACCTCCACGGGATGAGTCAAGGGAGTTACGTGATGAGGTCAATGCCTTGCGTGAGGAGATCGGTACTCTACGCGATAACGATGGTGCATGGCGTGTGGAGGTGTCTACTTTACGTGGTGAGGTTGCCGCTCTACGTGAGATGGTAGTATCGTTGCAGAATGAGGTTCATACTCTACGCAACGAGGTAAGTTTAAGATTTTCCATATTTAACTTGATGATAAATTTACTCGTAATTTCACTTAAATTAACCATTTCACTTAGATTGCTTGGTAAATTTATTCGGTTGCTGCCAAAACTGCTAAACTTTTTACTTTAACACTGTGAAGTTAGTATTTGTCTTTGTTTTGTCTTGTGGTTGAAAGTTTGAAATATATTTATCTTTGTTTTCACTGTTTAAATATCATGTCTGTTTATTTACTGATATTTGTATTTTTATTTAGCGGACCGATAAGGTGGATGCTTTACGTCGGGTTTTTCTTGCACGACAGAGTTCACGCATCAGACGGCGTGCACGTGCTATTAAGTCTCCGTATACCCCAATAGTGCGAAGACACCGCAAGAAGAAGCCCGACTCGCCTATCATCATCAAGAGTCCACTCCTATCGTTGAAGAGGCCCCTATCATTCCTCGAGAGTCCCCTCCCACCGTTCAGAGGCCACTGTCATCGTTGAAGAGGTCCCTCCCACCATTCAAGAGCCCGATTCACATGGCGTCATATGTAGGATTCTTGAGAAACCCTATGACGTGCCGGACATGATGGATTCAAGTTGGCTCTAGTATGAGTTACCGGCCAGTACCATACTGGTATCTGAAGAGGAGAGGAAACAACTACCGGACACAATTCTGGATAACACCTTTGGGCTAAGACCGCAGTTGATTTTTATCTACACGAGCGAAGCCAGGGGTGTTTCACTGACATATGCAAGCTCAATGATGATATCTATTGTTGCTTGATCGGTCTTGGTGGGGCGTATATTAGGGGTCGAAGACAATGGCTATTTCGATGGAGGGGTAAGTCTTATATTTTTCTTATATTTTCATTTGATTAATTTGTTTAAAAATTAATGTAATTCACTAATATATGTATTTTTTTTGTAAAATAGCATATCGATGCGTGGGTGTCACGTCTACTAATAATTAGGAAACTTAAGGAAAATAAAAGAAATACACGGTATACAATAATGCCGACGGCTTTTAACGCAGTTCACTTGAAGAATCAACGAGATGAATCATTTGCGTTGGGCAATGGACAAGCTAAACTTTATCCTGCATGGTGGGAGGTCGATAAGGTTAGTGTTTATTTTAGATTGAGTTTAAAGGTATTCATAAATAAGTGCGCAAATCAATGAATTTTTATGATTGCAGGTGTTTATCCCTGTTTT